TCCCACCGGCCGGGGGAGGGAGGGCCCCGCTCCCTGCGGCGCGGAGAGCGGCCGGTAGCCGCTGTGCCGCCTGCTTTGGGCTGTTTCAAAGCCCCGCTTCCCAGGTGCTGTTGTACGGGTGTTTAACCGTGAGAAACAGCAATAAGAGGGGTGAAAGGATTCTGACACAGACCCTTGTAACCTAGCTCAGGGCTTGCTCTGACGCTACCAAAGCAGGCGACCACCTCAGAAACCATAAAAAAATCAACCGCAGAGTACAGATGCTTGTTAAAGTCGCCGGATAGGCCCGCAACGCCGTCAGAGCTGCGGTGAAGGCGGCCAGACACCGCGGCTTCCTGAGCCACGCGCGCTGCGCCGTGGGTAACGCGTGGCGTCGAGCAGGGCGCGCGGCCCCGTGCTCCTGGCAGCCTCCAGCGCGAGGTCACGGCGCGACGCTGTCTGTCACTGTCCTGCCGCACCAGTTCCCCGAGCTGTCTCTGCGTGGGGTGGCCATTTTGGCCTCAGTTACAGAAATGCAGATATTTACGTCTGAGCAGCCTTCAAGCTATTTGTTTGTAAAACACATAATTTCTGAGACACGCTAATATAAACCATAAAGGCAGGCTATAAATAATTTCCCAAAACAGGGCAATGAGACTTACGAAAGTATACATGAAGCAGGGCATTTTCTAAAAGATGACTTTCTTACAAAAAAATAATCCATTTGTCAGAACATCAGCTCCACAGCCAGACTAAGAGCAAATGACAAGTGACGCTGTCAGACTGTAACGATCTTGAAAATGCAAATAGTGAGACATTAACCTTTATCGTCATTCTGTAATCTTGCTTTGTCTTTAGTTTTATCAGATTTTCTCAGCGAACAAAACTGATGCTTCGGTATGAAACGTAAAACGGGATGTGCGTGTACGTTACCTTGTAACAGTCAACACTGTCACTCTCGCGGCACTCCACGGCACGAAGCGTGGGCATTTCCCCTCGGAAGAGGGAGCAGTGCCACCTAACAAGTACCCTTCTAGAGGACTTTCGTCGTTACCAAGAATGAACTATATAATACGGAATGGAATAGTAAAAGACCAACAGGTAACTTGAAAGCTTATTTTATTATACTTTGGTAAGTATGGTTTCCTGTGGATCAAGACAGTTAAACAGCTTGTTTGAACACTCCCCTTCTCCTCAGCATAGTCTGGTATCATCTTGCCATGTACTACTGAGCAGACTTTCGATTGATAATAGAGACATATCTTCATAAAGAGCGCTTTTCCTAACAGTAAAATTGTTCTTTTTTTAATAAAAAAGATGGTTGAACATTTCACACTTAATTTAAAAAAACTGAAATGAGCTAATAATGCAAAAAATTGAATTTCTAGGTTGATGAAATGCTGATTATAATTTAACAGCAGCCATTCCACAGACATGCTGTAGTAGATTTTTTTCACCAGTTACAAAATATATACACAATATATCATCTTAAGATGCCTTTGGCATTCAGAATGTTAACTGAAATACAGAATCTAAAACTCAAAACTACTGTAAATTGCTCTTCTACAACAATTTTTACAATGGCTGTAAGCTAACTGCTCTGACTATATGCATCATATACAACGTGCTATCTCGTATACCATTTCCACAACAGTACACAAAAATATTTTAAACCCGAAATCCACATAAATAATGTTTTCATTGTAGTGAAGTATGTGACCAACGATTTAAAATGAGTACCTTTACAACAGAAACGTATCCTGATGTAACCTGCACATACAGTCTGAAAGATAAAAAGGGACTCCAATAATCTCTGCTAAGGCCACAAGCACCTTGTGTTGTGAAGAGCACCAAGGCAACAGGGACAGGAAACACAAAGGAGGTAGTGTGCCATCTGGTAAGATGTATGTGTCCACAAAGGACTAGAATAAAACAATGCTTAAGAAAAGAAGATGTGTTGTACTGTGGCGTAATTCACTTTTCATACATAAGGTATTGCACATTTAGGAGCACTAGCCAGTATTGCTTCTTAGTGTTGTATGTCTCCAGCTTTCCTCGGGATGGTTTTTTTGCAGTGCTGTTAAAGAGATTGCCGAGAACACTAGAGGTCCTGAAAAATTCTGTGTTCAGATACTCAGTTCCAGGAAATTATGCAAGAAAGCACCAACCAATTTTTTTAAAAATACGTTATGAAAATTGTTCTTTTCTTTCTTTGCTTTTCCAATGCCATTTCTCCTTAGGAGGCAGTCTTTTTCTTCCCGAGTCTTTAACCAACACTGTTTAAAATGATTCTCCAGTTTGCTAGTAATTTTGCCTGCAATGGATCATTACTTTTGCATTCAATCTATGCAGCAATTCCGTGTTGATGCAAAAAAACAAACCAGAAACCTTAAAGGAAGCACACTGAACCACTTTCTACGAAGTGCTGCTGTCCTGGTTTGAGATGAGGAAGTGTGTTAATTTGCACTACTGGAAGCTGATTCGTGTCCTGAGTGTGGAAAAAGAACTGTGTCTTATGCCAGCTGCCATCTTCAATCTGCAACACACAGAAGCAAAATACGAGATTCGTATCAAATATGAGGGTCAAAACACAAACGGAAATGGTCCTTAAAGAGTGAGAGGAGAAGCGCACAGAAACATTTCTTCTCCCAGGAGTTCCTAAAGAAACTGCATGATTTAACAAATGCCATTTCTCTCATGCAATACCATGGGCACTCCTGGCAGAACTGTAACTGTAAAAAAGCCCAGCCCAGATTCCAGCTGGACCGGGTGCCGACACAGTGCAACGTGGCTCAGAGCAGAGCGCCCGTCACTTTGCAAGCAGTCCTGGGCTCATATAGACTCTTAGATCTCTTGCTAAAATCACCTCTGAATCTGAGCAGTAAGTCGCAAGTTATGACCTCTACAGGAACTTTAATGACTTTGTCCTTGAAGAATAATCACAGGGAATGAGAGCTGCATTTTTGCCATGAATTTTGTATTGATTATTCTAATCCTTTAAAAAAATCTCAGTAAAAAATTCATATCTCATAAAAATTATAAAATAATGTTATAACATTGTCTGAGGGCTGGGAAAGCCTTGATGCTTGCAATCACTTCGTTCTTAAAAACCATCAGGTACACTGGACACCACTGAAAAGTGAAATCTCTGCAGAGAGGGAAATGTGTGAGATTCGGCAGCAGGTCTGTACAATATGAAGCTTCCCACAGAAAGAGCAACAGACCTCGTAGAATGTCACAGAAAAACAGCACTTCTCAATAGCCGTCAGTGTATGCCTGAATTTTTCTCAGGGATTAAAACACTCCCAAACAGACTGGGAGGTGGGGAGAAGAGGCTTCAACGACCATACTTTGGCTGCATGACACAGGCTAGAGAATCTTGTTAGCGTGAGCTAATAAAGGTTGGAAGCATAACAGCTCTGACGTGCCTCAGTAAAACCACCTTCCATCTTGAGATTAAAAATCTCACTTGACACCCCTGTGTCGATATGGAACCAGACTCAGGTCTTTTGTTATTGTAAATGATAGTAGAGCTATAAAATACTGAAAGTATAAAGTGCTTGTCTCTTGTATTCTGTAGTGTTCTACCAAGACATTTACCAAATGGCTCACATCTTGGTGAGTGGAGTAACCTAATAAGCATCAGAAAATTAATAAGCTCTTCCAATTTTTCCTAAATACAAATGATTTAATATTTTAGTTAGCAATGGAGTCCATTTCCAGTCATCATTATTTTGTTAAATAACCAAACAACTGACTCATAGCCAATGAATTTAGAGAGATTCAGTGGTCAAAAAAATAATTTACAGCCTGTTTGAACCTGAGATTTTGCGTTAGATAACCTCAGCAGAACTCTTACCAAAGGCTGAATTTTCATTCTGAGAGTAACTGTTCCTAAAGTTTCCTGCGGGAACCTCCTTTATTTCTGTTCTGATCTCTCTCCAGCGTCTTACTAGAGCCTTGAAATACATGACACTCAATGGGAACAGCAAGTATAGATACCCTGTATTACTGCGATTGCTTTGACGTTTGGGGAGATGTTGAATTCAATATCAAAAGCTTGGCATATAGAGACATATGCAGAAAAACGCAAGAAGTAAGCTTTAAGGGACGTGAATCTAAATGATCGTTACTTATTTGCAGAGACTTAATAATGTCTAAATAATAACTCCATTATGGTTTTAATAATGCTAATGTTAAAAAGTGTTTACCATGCATTCATCCATAAGCACCTTCGGTTCAAGTAGCGTATTTGCTTTAAATATTTGACCATTCCATCCTTTGAAGCTAACAGACGTTTTCTGGCCACCTGCTTTATTTAATCTCCACATTGGCGTGTTCAGACAATGAACTGTGATGCTGTGGGTTGCTTCCGAGCTCAGTAAATGAAGGAAGTTCATCTGCACTTTTCCAACACCGAACTCCAGCTAAGTTCCAAGAGAAACGCATCGTGAGACTTACAGCTGGACTATGCTGAATGACCACAGCAAAACAAACGGACATGCACATACATGTGTGGTGTTCAGGCATCAGAACACATCTATCATAGAATCATAGGTTGAAAAAGACCTCTGAGATCATCAAGTCCAACCATCCACCCAACACCACCATGCCTACTAAACCATATCCCGAAGTGCCACATCTACACATTTTTTAAACATCTCCAGTGATGGTGACTCAACCACCTCCTTGGGCAGCCTGTTCCAATGCCTGACCACTCAGTAAAGAAATTTTTCCTAACATCTAATCTAAATCTCCCCTGATGCAACTTGAGGCCATTGCCTCTATACATGTTTATATATTGGGATCAATGCCAAAGAGCATGATCTGTAATTTTCAGGAGAGCTGTTAAGTTCTATTATAGTGATTACTGTAAGAGACGCTTTCATAGGACATTTTCAAAGCTTAAATATAAACATTGGCTAATGCTTACAACATTATTGAAACACAGCTGGGCAGAAACACTATTTTTGAATGAGGAAACTGAAACAAATGATTCTGTGATTCAGACAAAGATATTATCAGCAGTAGAGTTTGACTGCAGCCACATCATTCTGCTGTTTCGTCTTCTTAGACCACAGGTTCTGGCAATAACTACATCCCATTAAGAATCCAAAAATTCGTAAGCATACTTTGAGTTTAGACAGAAAACATAGTTGCTCATTACTTAATGATCAAGACTAGATCATATTCAGGGATCTTCCAAATGTAGGAATGTGTATGGGAATCTTATGGTATTTCTGATGCTCTTCAGCGACGACAGTGTATATGCAAAACTCCACAAATACAAAATTTCTATTCCCAAGGGTTTAAGGACTACATGTAAAGAGGAGCATGGACTAATGACATAAAGGAAACCAGTCTCTGCTTAATGGCATTTAAAAGTAGTTAAGTGTTGAAAAGTAGTCATAATTTTCTTCCTTCCTATTGCAATGACCTCAGCATCTCTACTTAGGCTGCCCTGAGTGATGAGTTACTAATGTAGCTTAGAAGAATTTTAGGCTTATTTTTACGCCTTGTATAAAAAAGTAGAAAGCAAAACAAAATAATTTTATCAGCATGGAAGGTGAGTAAATGAACAAAGTGAGAGTTACACTAACATATATTGTCTCCAGAAAACCTGGAACTTCTGTAACAGAATATATAACATGTCCTTCCACAAAGATGGACATTAAAAACGCCCTGAAATCTAACATCTTTTCATGAGTTAAGTAAATAAGCATTCATTTGTTCAGAGTTCCAGCACAGATACAGTCTCTCTGGAAGCAATGCATACCTTTGTCACAGACAGCGGTGTTAAACATGTCTGACCACCCGCAGTGAAGTTGCAGAAAACTTCAATGGCATCAGAAGGACATCCAATATTTGGGTCAATCCAGTATTTTCCTATTAGTATATAACCCCAGATGGAAAATAAACCCAAAATATAATTGTTACTAAACAATTTGCTAAAATATTCATACTTTTTGGCAAGTATTAGATATATTATCACCATAGCTTCACTAGGAAGCAAAAGAAAAGGAACGTGAAAGTATTTTCACTATTATAATTCTACTAATAACAGATACGAAACAAAATTATCGTAACCATTCAATTCTGGTTACACATACAATGACTTTTGAATACTGCCACAGTTTAAAAAAGATTTTCTCTTTCTACAGCTTAATAGTGAGCACAAATGGTATTTCCAGTCTGCTCTTTCTGTATTAAAAAGTAACTTTATTTTCTTTGGGCTTTGCTTTATATAAAGAATATATTCAGGATGTAAAATATCAGTCTTAATTCTCTTGCTCTCACAGCACCTTGCAGATCCTTTCTTTCTCTGCCGTCTTTCTCCCGTCAGACACTTCTACATGACATATCCTAGCGATGGTAATAAGGAGTATTTGCCATTGTGAATCCATGGGATTTGGACAATAAAAGAAATAGGACACATGCAAATTATATCAGGATTTAGCTTTCCTTAATATGACACATGCAAATTATATCAGGATTTAGCTTTCCTTAATTTATGGTTAAATATGGATGAGCATGTGGTCTACAATTTATACAGGTGTGTGTAATGATCATGCTTGACCAATCTGATAGCTTTCTACGATGACGTGACTGGCTGGGTAGATGAGGGGAGAGCAGTGGATGTTGTCTACCTCAACTTCAGCAAGGCTTCTGACACTGTCAACCATAACGTCCTCACAGGGAAGCTCAGGAAGCGTGGGCTGGGTGAGTGGACAGTGTGGTGGATTGAGAACTGGCTGAATGGCAGAACTCAGAGGGTTGTCATCAGTGGTGCTGAGTCTAGTTAGAGGCTGGTAGCTAGTGGTGTCCCTCAGGGGTCAGTACTGGGCCCAGTCTTGTTCAACTTCTTCATCAATGACCTGGATGAAGGGACAGAGTGCACCCTCAGCAAGTTTGCTGATGACACAAAACTGGGAGGTGTGGTGGATACACCGGAAGGATGTGCTGCCATTCAGAGAGACCTGGACAAGCCGGAGAGATGGGTGCAGAGGAACCTGATGAAGTTCAACAAGGGCAAGTGCAGGGTCCTGTACCTGGGGAGGAACAACCCCATGCACCAGTACAGGCTTGGGGTGGACCTGCTGGAGAGCAGCTCTGCGGAGAGGGACCTGGGTGTCCTGGTGGACGGCAGGTTAACCATGAGCCAGCACTCCTATGAGGAGAGGCTGAGGGAGCTGGGCTTGTTCAGCCTGAAGAAGAGAAGACTGAGAGGGGACCTTATAAATGCCTATAAATATCTTCAGGGTGGGTGTCAAGAGGATGGGGCCAGACTCTTTTCAGCGGTGCCCAGCAACAGGACAAGGGGCAACGGGCACAAATTGAAGCATAGGAAGTTCCGTCTGAACATGAGGAAGAACTTCTTCCCTCTGAGGGTGATGGAGCACTGGAATGGGCTGCCCAGAGAGGTTGTGGATTCTCTTTCTCTGGAGATATTCAAAACCCGTCTGGATGAGGTCCTGTGCAACCTACTCTAGGTGACCCTGCTTCAGCTGGGGGGTTGGACCAGATGATCCAAAGAGGTCCCTTTCAGCCCCTGACATTCTGTGATTCTGTGGTTCTGTGATCCTCGGAAGCAGAGGACTGTGTCAGTGACCACTGTGGCCCTAAAGGACTGAGACTTATTTAAGAGAGCAGAGTTCTAATAAGGGTTAGGCTCATCTCTACTAGAGTCTTAAAGAATTGATTGGTCTTATGTATGCCATAGAACAGTGATTTCCCTGTAACCTCTAACTTCACTTCCCATTTTCTCCTTAGCTTGTTAATGCTAATACTTGGTGATAGGGATATTTACTGGTATTTATTATTTTATTAGCCACTCAGAAACTGAATTATGTCACAGTATTGACATTACAGGTTTAAATTATTATTTTTTATTTGAGATATTGATTCAGGATCTTCTGGGATACAACAACTATCAGTGTATCTGACAGTGGCAGTGTATTGTATACAATTTTCTCATTAGGAATCTAGAAACTGATCCACACAAAATTCATTGCAGATTAGCTATAAATACTTGGGAAACTTTTAATCACAAACTTGTATTCAGTTTCAAATTTTCTGGACACTTTTTTTTACTTACACATATAATCTGTCTCTAATATCTATATAATATTAGATAGATACATATTTTTCTAATTTTAAAAATTAATTTTATCTTAAATAAAGATAAAATAAAGAGCTGTGATAGGCATACTGCAATAGAATATAATAAAACAAATCTACACATTAGAATTGTGATGTAGAAAGTCACACTTGGAAGCAACAGAATTCAAAGCCTAGTTGTGTTCAAGCTTTAATGAAAGTGGACACTTACCATCTGCCACTTCACGTTCACAGTTAAGCAAATCCCTGCAGATGCGTGCTGGGTTATCCCGTGTGCCAAGGGGGTTCCTGATGCTGTGCAGTAAATTGGTAAGGTAGTGCAGCGTTCTGAATATCTCTGTACTGTGATCTAGTAAAGTTACTTCAGTATTCTGGTATTTCTGCCAAGGGCCATTAGCAAATGTGTTACCACAAAGAAGTGTCACAACAACAGTATATGCAGTAAAAGTCAAATTACCATTGAATAGCCAGACAGAAGCGAAGTATTTATAGTGCATGCAATCAGCCATATAAAACAGCGTAAGAACAATATATTCCAATAAACAAATTAGTACATTTTATTAAAATTATCAGACCAGGGAAGTTACAGGCAGGTTAAGTTGATGCAAATACGTCATTATGACATGTTGACATAAAAATGTGGATACAGGAAAAAAAAGAAAAAAAATAGTGCATTTTTTGAAGTATACATAGCAGTTTCAGATTTTGAACAGTTAAATCTACTCTTAGGCTTAACCTAGAAAATATATGCAAATGTATTTGACCACCCGTGTAAGGAATTTTCTTGCAATCAATGGGACCACACACTTGCATATATGTCAGTATTTTTTGGATTAAGGCCTAAATACCACTATCATTATACGCAGCCGAACAGATACAGTTCGCTACGTGTGACAGTCAATAAATTTCCTTTATTGCCAACCATGACAAAAAGGTAGAAATGCTGCTGTTTTTCTTAACTTCATTTCAATTGTATCCTATAAATCTTAGCATGTTTAATTATATTCTACAGTAATTACTTGCTATCCATGACTCATTTCAAATTAAGCCTATTTAAAGAAGCACAGTTCTGTGCTTAAAAAACAGAATTATATTTGCATACCCTGCATGACAATGTAAATACACTGAAATATATTACCTCCATCTGCAGTGCAGCATTTGACTCAATCAAAGCTTGAACAGCAGCATTGATGTCCACTTGTTTCTGAAAAAAAGATATTTCAGAATATAAAAAGATGCACAGGAATATTCTAAAATGCAGGTGATAAATTCTTTGACCACTGCAGCAACATGCACAATAGCTTCATTATTTTGTCATTTTAGAAAATAATTCATTGTAAACACTTACTTTTAAAATAAGATCCTCCCTTCCATTTCCAAAGAATGCAAGCATGCATACAGAAAAAACACATCTGATTTTTATTAGTACCCCCATACCCAATTTAATGATCATACTCCTGGAACCTGGAAAAAAGATACTATAGTAGTTGTTACAGACTAATGTCCCAACTTATTCCTCCCAGCCATTTAATTTGTCTACCTAAGAAAACCAATCTGATATTCCTTTACAGAGAAGCGCACAAAGACTATCTCAATCCACCATCAGCAGCTGACAGATCAAAGTAGTCTTCATGATGCATGAACAAATACCAAGGCTGACAAACTAGTCTCTGAAGGAGGACGCCCGTTTCTTCTTACTCTGCACTTTGTGTGACATATATGCCAGAACCAGACAACAAGTTTTTTTATTTTTAAAGAATGAAGTCACCCACACAAGCATCTAGTTCTTGCAAGTTGTTCTCAGATTACATATATCATTACAGCTTTAGGACACTTCAGATATTGAATCTGTCCTAACTGGCACAACCCCTTAACAAACTAAATCTCTCTGTGTGTGTGTATATATATGTGGGCCAGAAATAGCACAAAATTTTCTGTTGCTATATTTCAGAGTGTTCAAATGCAGAACAGGAGAAAAACCTTTTAGAGTGTGATGGAGTTAACCCGTGTCAAAACTATGAGCATTTCCATGAGCATTGCCTGTTGGGAGCTCAACAGTGTGGCAGAACGGAACTGACAGTGTAAGATGGAAGGTTCAAAAAATGTATTACTGTAGTGATGGAAGCTGTAGAAAAATGTATTTGCATTTCATGTGCAGTGATGGAATAAGCAATGCATTTGAAGAGGATCCTGCTATGTTCACTTTCAAAAAGGGACTGTATTGTAGGTTAGGGTTGTTCCAGAACTTACTCTTGGTCCTGGTGGTCCAGGTGGTCCCTGGAAAAATGGGAGAAACCAGATATTAGGTGCTTTGCATGTCTGTATAATGCAATCACAATAGAAAAATACAGACATGTTTTTTTATGCACTTACAGGTGGCCCTGGCTGGCCCTGAGGTCCCTGAGGCCCCTAGAAGAAATGGAGATTAAATGCAACAGTTATAGATGAACATCTCTGATTTTACATTTATGTATTTTTTAAATCCCCAAATGCCACAATGCGTACAATGAAGAAGATGTGATACCAGTTTCAGTAAAGCTGTAGGTTATTAGTTACTGTTGTTAAAGTATCATACTTTGTTAACATGTGAATATTCCTGTTAGAATTGCTGGCTTGTCTGGTTACTCATTTATCCAATTACTTTTGATATTAAGGAATCATTAGAAGTCATATAAAGTATTAATATACAACATGCTATACATTGTGCCAGCATTATAGGCATGTTGCCAACACAAGCACTACAAGAGATGAATGATCATAAAAGCATTGTAAATAATGCTATGGGTAGTTGTAAAAAACTAACTGATCTACTTCATGAGCACCTGCTAGGCATTTATTAGCTGCATTTATTAGCAGTGTCAATTTTCAGCCAGAACATGCTAAGTTCAATGTTTAACAGTGATATTACAGGCTTCCTTCATATTCAAGATGTCATGCCCTTATTTCCTCCTCATAAGTGGCATCACTTTAGTATGTAGGATGATGCAGCAGCGAGGAGAGGAAGAGAAGGAACAGCTGCTTTTCCCTAGCTTATAGTGCCTACAATGCACATAGTCTTAAATCTAAGTTTTAGGCTCACCTTTGGGTTGGACATGGACCCTCCCAAAAACAATTACTCCATCTGAGTTATCCTTTCTTTGAGCAACTATTCACATTAAGATGGAATGATTATGAATACTAATACACAGTGATAGTTGTGTCTCTGTTAGATTCTCTTCTTCAGTTTCTATATACTCAAAGCCTCTAGGAGCTGCTGTAATATAAACAATAGCAAAAACAATGACAAGGAGAAGAATAGGTGGTAGTGCCTTAATATGAGCAAAAGAGAAGAAGAAGGAATGAAAGGCATAAGCCACACCTGCACCATGTATTAGTAAACCTTTTAACCTGAGTTAATTTAAGGAGAACACTCTTTGGCCAGTGCTGCTTGTACCAATTATTTGAGCACAATAAGCTGTTCCAGAAAAAATTCCTCTTGCACCAGTATGGTCATGCTAGTACTCAGTCTCTGCCAAAAGAGAAATAATCTTATCTGACATGTCATGCTGACAAATCTTGTGAAACTGATCTAGTCAAAGAGGTATTAAGTTGTAAATCACTTAATATACTAATAAGGAGTATTCCTGCTCTGAGCTTGCACTGTGAGTGAGTGTCACTGCATGCTACAACTGCTGACCCTGGGCTGCATTTCAAGCTTCCACCAGCAAGGGCAGCTGGAAATGGTTGAAGAAAGACCAGATTCAATCTAACATTAATGCATGTATGTTTAAAAAAAGGATCTCAAAGCAAATAGGTGTGATTTAGTTAAGTCACTGAGGCTCCAAAGTTATCAGTTCTTAGGAGAACAGCAGCTGCATTTCTCACTGCCTCTAGACATATCTGTAAGGCAGAGCACATGGTGGCTACCAGGGAATGCATCCGTGAGGGTTACAGTGACCTCCACAGCTGCACGGGTTAAGTGTGCCTGCACGTCACCTGCCCTGGCCATGCCAGAGGGGCTTGGGTGCTGGGTTACGATGGGTGAGAAAAGTGACGTAATTCCTAGCACCAGATCTGTACCAGCAAGGCTATGTGGAGGGACTGCAAACGGCTTTGGGGCCAAGACCTATGTTTTACACGTGTTCTTTGGAGAATAGGGGATAATCAAAACTGAAGCAATTTCTGGGTGTTTAGAGGGATGGTCTTCTGATACTTAACTAAGACCACCTTAACAGCAAAAGCTCTAGGGACTGTAAATATTGTCAGCTTTTCAACTGATGTTTATGTTTCCCTCACTTATACCTATAGAAGGGACTCTAAGCCATCTTTTAGGTAAATACTTCATGATATTTTATAAAGACTTTAATGATTAATGTTGGAAAATGGAAATCAAAGAGTAAGCCATTTTAGCATATACAGTAGTACAGAAAACCGTGTGGGTTCTGTGGCAAGTACCTAGCTTCCCTTTACTGTTCTGAGTTTGGTTATTGCCCAGCTTAGAATTATTGCTTAAATTTTCTTTGAAATCCTATTACTATTAAATAGGCATAAAATACTATTGTTGTAATTAATTATTACAAATTGGTAAGAGACAAGTTTGGAGAGATGACATTCACTATTTTGGGGTAGTCCCTCAGCTGTAGCAAACCAACTGGGTTTCACAGAGCTACGCTGTTTAATGCCAACTGAGAAAGCTGACATCCACATTTAATTAACCAGATCAGCAGCTCTGGTGCTGTTAGACTGCTGCAGGATACCTTCAATCTCATCTGGATGTATTACTGAACTGTATGATCATTCTTGGTGAAGTATGTTAAGTATAAAGTGAAAAGTGTGAAAAAGAAACTCAAGAAATGAATTTGACAGTGTAAGGACATATTTGTTTATCTTGGTTCAGGACTTGATTATGCAAATATCAAGTCAAGGCAAGGCACAAAATCTTCAACAGTTTGTCCTTGAGTAACCACTGCTCTCTGATGAATAGATGTCCTTGTTCTGCGTGCTGAGATTTAGACATTCCAGTAGATTTTTCAGATGACTGAATGTTTCAGTTAATATTCTGTGTTCTTGGCATGTGTCACAATTCTAAGACTTCAAGTCTTAGGACAAGAACAGTTCAAATTTGTAGTGGTTTCTGAGACAGAACTTAATATTTTAAAAATCAAAAACTGTGCTGTTCCAATGAATTTAAGGTGTTTTGCAAAAGAGGAAGATGATTAGTCTTGATTCACTGTCCACTTGCTAATAAAACTGATGTGGAAAAAAGGTATCGAATGCTATTTGTTAACTATAGTAAACTACTTTTGGGGATATTACATTTCTTAACTGCATTAAAACTTCAGAGGACTACATCAATTACCTTTACAAGCCTTTAAAATATAACAAAACTGCACAGAGTGTGTTGGAAATCTTGTAGAGATGTTATAAATGTTCTTTCTGTTGTAGAGCAGCAAAATAAGGTTAAATTACATTTTTCATGGATTAAGTTAATTGCTAAATGTTTTACTGGAATGTACTGGATTACCTTTACAAATCTACTTAATTTACCCTTTGATCACATTAGAATTTAAGTGAGAAAAGTGTAATTCTAGTTCATAATCACAAAAGCAGAGTATAGAACAGTTAGATTTAGCGTGTTCTTCGTTAACCATCCAATTTGATTGCTAGTACAGAAGTTCAAGGCCAAAACTCCAATCTTTCTAATACTGTAAGGCCCTGATATTACATGCAATGATACATATGCTGAACTTTGAAAACACAAGCAATCCCAAGGACTTCCATATTTTCCAGGACTTCTGAAATTTTCCAAGAAACAGGAAGTATTTTTAACAAAAATTATTAATGTTAAGCTTTCCCTGACCACTTCTGTCATTTTGATGATTTGTCACCTTATCTCAGAATGAGTAAAGCCTAATAACATCGTGCAATATAATAGTCTGATACACAATACAGTGTGATAGCTGCCATTAATATTTTTAAATCTAAGATAAAATATGATAATAGAACATTACAGATTGTGCCTTATCATATCATATCTTTTTTCACTTTGAGGACAGTCATGCACTAGAACACATTGCCCAAAAAGGTTATCCAATCTCCATCCCTGGAAGTTTTCAACACCCGGCTGAATAAAGCCCTGAGTAACATGGTCTGATCTCAGAGCTGACTCTTTTTTAAACAGGAGGTTTGTCTAGAAATTTCTTGAGATCCCTTGCAACCTGCATTATCCTATATTATATTTAATTATGTGACATGCCATGAAATAAATTTATAAAAAATTAAGAAAATGAAAACACAGTTTCAGAAATGCCAGAATTCTGAAACAATATTCCAAAATGACCTCCCTGTTTTTCTAAATGTTTCAATCACAGTGACAGGAATATTTTGAATTGAAATATAATTTTGATTACATTTTTTCAATAAATTCTGTTTCCAACTCTGTCAATTTTTCTCCAGAAATCGCCTACAGAACCTGAACTTTGGTTCACCACGGACCTCAACAAGGAAACACAATTTCACATTCCATGTTTTTCAGGGGATAAAAGCACATTTCTTTTTAGTAATAAACACTGTATCCCTGACAAACTAAAAACTGTAACTAAAACTTGGACTGCTACAAGAAAGTTAAATCTTTGTGATTCTAAGAAGAATTCCAATACCAATTTTAAAGGTATAAATTCAAGCTTAGAATACACAGTTGGATTAAAATAATTTTCTCTCCTTTGTATCTGAAAATAGTTGGAAATAAATCTTTTTCTTGGCTACATAATACAAACTAATGCTGCCATGTATGATTTAAAATTAAACATTATTCTTCTGAAGACACTCTTAGGAGATGAATTATTCTTGATGAATTCAAGAACTTAGGGAATAAATTCTTAAACACCAGCACCAATAATGTAAACGGGTGTTTCTTGTTCACCATTTGGGATGTGTTTTTTTTTTTCAAGTGTCAGCATTTTTAGCTGCATGCTGTCATAGCAATTCTTATGATCAAACAGTAGAAAAAGAGAGTTAAGATGGTTAACAGCAACATGAATTAAGAAACTAGTTTTCCTCTTATTCTGAGATAGCAATTACTTCAAGAGCATTAGAATCAAAGAGGAAATTTCCCCAAGATATCTACAGCAAGCTTAGCTCCAAGCAATTTTGAGTATTTCTGATATATTTTTCAAAAGTTTTCTAAGGCATTTAGGTTGCAATTGTACACAGGTGGCTGCTAAAAGCAAAATGCAGTAAGACAAGAGAAACTAGATGATTTCAAGTCAGGTGGGGTGAAAGGCAGGGTAAGATCAACAGGAACAAGATCACATTGGCCAGTTACTGGAAAAGGAACTAATTTTAAACCTGCCATATAAAGTAATGTCTTAGGTATCAACTATCATTGTATTCGTATTTGCTGTAAATATGATAATTTAATGGCTTTTCACATAGCCATTATTAATTGGAGACTTTACTAGCTCTAACATAATTTTTTAATCAAATGAAACATCTATTAATGTACAAATCTAATGTAATATTCTTACTGAAAAATGAGAGGCAGCAACTTCATAACCTATCAACGCTGCCTAGTGCTACTACAGCTGGCACACACGGCATAGACACCCATCCTCAGCTCTAGGCTTCTCCTGAACTCTCCCTCTCTAGACAAGACGACAAAGGTATACGAACACGTGCATGCATGCTGTGCTGTGAGGCACATTGACAACAAATGTGAAAAAGGATTTTTCTTTTAGATCTGAGCAGGGACAAATTTGAAGTACGTTATTGCTGTATGATCGGGCTGCCCGACAGCACATGCCCACTGGGCATATCTACATAAGTCAACTTGAACAAGAAAAGGTCAGACTTTCGACTCACGCCACCAGCTTTCTTGGCCAGTGCTCTCCAGGAGCACAACACGACTGTGGCATTCAAAGCGTGCAAAAGTACATTCAGAGTAGCTTAGGAATAGTTTTTACACAGCCAAAAAAATGAAAGCACAAAAGCTGTTTCATCTTACCATTTCACCTCTTGTGCCCTTTTCACCTCTCGGTCCCTGTAAGAAAGAGAAGCTGTTAATCCAGCATGCTTTCTAGCCGCCTAGGACTGAAATGAGCAAATTTATATCCATGAGAGTTACACTGCTCACATAAAAAGTCCAGTCTCATCTGTGGAAGTATTTACAGTTTTGGGGCTTTAATTTTCCTGTACTATTCAAAAACTAAGTTACTTCAAAACATCTTGTTATTCCTATATGTGGAAAGCCATTGTTTTCTTCGGATTGTAAATATGTTTTTTCTCAGTAATTTTAACTGTCAGTGTTCTCCCTGTCAGTCAGCTGTATTCTCTACAACTTGATCTATTGTAATACATCAGTGCTTCACCCTCTTTAGAGCACAAAACTCAGTACTCTCCATCACTGAAGAAATCCATTGGTTACATATCTGTTTTTATTACCCCATCAGTCCTCCTCTCACAACCAGATTAGACACTGGTTTTCTGTCTCTGTGGCATTTTTGGCTAGTTTTGCACTTAAACTGTGTTTCCAAAGATGGTAACAATTGTAACAGTTCTTCTCTGGAAGAATTTTACATCTTAATGGCAGCATTTCATAACACCTAGAAGCAATCTTCAACTGTAATGCTTTCTTAATGATAATGGCAAACTATTACATTCAATATGAAGTCTATTAAAAGCCTTCATACAAGTAAACACAACTGTAAAGTTTTTCTCCTGAGTGCGACTGAAAAGAGTGCAGCAAGACTTAAAGTACTGTCTTCTTCCCAACACGTGGAAAAAATAGTCTAATTATAGAAGGAACATTTCCCTTCTCCTTTCTTTTTCACTTGTAAATATTTGTATTTATTACTTTTATTGTATATTCCTGTGACTTATGTTTATTATTTAAATTTTTATATATTCTCATTCACTCCAAGTCTTGCTGATCGGACAGAGAAACTTGGATGGTACAAAGAGCTTCTAAAGCTACCTTACATGGCTGGGTAGCCTGCAGACATGAGCCAAAGGGTGCCCTTGCAGAACACCGCTCTGTCTCTGGCACAGGGAGTGCAACAAGGGATAGAAACAGGGATGAGGGCAGAACTCCTCCACTGCAGGGAACCTGGGATGCATTGAAGGTTATCAGACGGGCCCAAGAAGATGTTGGAGATGTCACAGGGACGTCACCAGCACCTGGAACAACCCAACAAGGGCTTGTGGGCACTCCCAGCATGTCTAGGGGAGCGCTCTGGACAGTTCAGCCCAATCAGCACATAAAAAATAAACTACATTGAAGCTGAGTGGGGATACCCTCTAGATATGTCTCAGACCTAAGGCTGGGAAAGAATATCCAGGTGGTAGTCACTATCTGCTGTTTTACACCTTGACTCACCCACTGCCGCTGTAGGCAGGCCCTCTGTATACTGTACTTAGAAGGCCATTGCAATGAATTTTTGTCATTGTTTTTTGTCATTTTTTTCTTGTTTGTGTTACAGATGCTGGAGTCACACATGTTAGCTTACCAGCAAGGTATAACATGAAGATGATCCTGCTAATTGTTATTTGCAAATAGAAAAATGAGAAGGTTGCTAGTTGCAACACAGATTATTAAAAATAAGGGTAGGCGAAATAACCAAATTACGCAAAAGAAAAGGGAAACTTACAGGCCTGCCAGTTGGGCCTGTTATGCCTTCTTGACCAACAGGGCCAATATATCCCTGTAAACAAGCAAAGAATTTATTAGTGCACCATGTTTCAAAATGAAGAAAATCATGATGTGGCCTGTTTTGTAGTTGCTCAGCACACAGCCCTGGCAAATATCCAAAAGATCAGGGCGATATTCTCTTTCTAAATATTGAGTGCATATTGCTACAAAATCAGCAAAGTAATTATTTTAATAATTATTAATTATTATGCTTGGAAAGCCCCCATACCTTCTTTTATGTGAAAGCTGATGTGCTAGAACTAGTGGAAACTAAAGTACTCTAATTACCAAAGCCCACATATTTATTGAGCTACAGTCAACTATATCTTGAGCTATACTACTGTCCACAGGTACTCTTGTAAAGCTGCCAGTAAGTACTGCTAAAATGTTACTTTCCTGTTCCATTTCACTGAGCAGACTGCTCATTTCCAGTGTTTATCTTTTACAGGAAAGTTTAGAAAAAGAAAGCAGCTATTAGAACAGATCACAACAGCTGCTGCTCTGCAGCTGGTTAACTGAACCAATTCAGTTCTGTGATGGCAATGGCAGCAGTAAGAGAAGAACATTTTGTAGTAAGGCCTTCCATGCTGAAACCTTTCCCCCTTTACCCTTTTTCACGTGATGCTGTAAAGCTGGATGCACACTCCCCAATATTACAAAATGCTAAATATGCTTCCATGTTTTTGGCGAGTAGCAAAGCGGAATGTCATGAAGAAGGAGTCATGAAGAATGAGCTAATGCAGGTTAGTAATCTTATAGATAAAAAGGAAATCCTTATTAGAAAAAGACTACACACTCATCAGTAATGCCTGAGCACCACTCTGTCTTACTGCAGGCAAAGTTTGACCCTTTTTTCTTTTGCTGTAGGACAGAGTTATACAATTAGCATTCTTGCAAGTAAGAAGAAATAGAATGTTCAACCCCAACAGACAAAGATATGACAGCAATAAGGATACTTGTATACACAAAACTATACTAGGAGAGCCATATTTGGTCAGCAGAGCTTGCTTTTTTCCTTCAAAATTAAGAGCCCAGCTCTGATTGTGTGTCCGTACCCATGTTGCAACCAGAGCAGTGTTGAGGTACAGGCAAAGGGCTTCTAGCGGAGACATAGTTTCAGCGAGAAAGGTTTGGTTAGAGGGTTCTGGCCTTGTTAGTACGAAAAAAGATGATTCACTAAATTAAAAACATGCGCCGCTTGCAAGCCATCCTGACAATCTCTTTCATGGAGTGAAACACTTACAACTTGGCCTGTTGGACCTTTTGGGCCCAGAATTCCAACTAAGCCAACGTCCCCTGCAGGACCCTGAAAATGCAAAGGAACAGTTTAAGCAAACACGGACATTAGCTATTCACTTGTTTCAATATCCTGCAATCGGTGGAAGTAAGATAATTTCTAAGAGCAATGACAGTGAAAATACCAAGCACACTGACCCAAAACATTTGTCTTTAGACAAGGAGTACACAGTTCTGCCTACAATGTTCCAACAGTTCAGATAGATTTTGAACAAATTATTGTTAAAGTCGATTAATTCCGTGCTTTCCTAATGTTCTCACTCTGTAAATGGCTTAAGATCTAACAGAAAAGAATGAGCACATACTTTTGGACCTGGGAATCCTTGAAACCCCATTAAGCCTTGATCTCCATCTTCTCCCTGTAATAGCAGCAGGCATCCTTACTATTATCTCACGTTGGTAACTCTTGGAGTACTTGTTTTGCATCAATAACTGTGATTACATACAGTCTGGCCTTTCAGCCCTGCATCTCCTGTGGGTCCTTGGTCACCCTGTGATCCTGGAAGGCCTCTTTTGCCTCGCTTTCCTGGATGACCCAGGAGCCCTTTCTCACCCTGTGAATAGGAAGATAATGTATCTCTTATTACAATTATGACAGTTATAAATGTAAAGATCGGTTTCCTGGCAGAAGTGTGGGACTTGCTTTCTCTCTAAGAAATAGACCTACTCCATTAATTTTATCGCCATCAGGAATGCTTTCAATAATTATACTTTCACTAAAATGCAAATATGATTTGACTGTTCCTTGACTTGGAAATAGAAAACCCATACATGTTGGATCATTTCCAGTATGCTATCTCCCAGTGCAAGCACTAAAATTCACAAAACGAAATACAGAACAAGTAGGTTAGAAGTAAATTTAAAAAGTAATCCTCTGAGCAAGGCATAGCATAGTTGTGGAACTCCTTGCTGTAAGACTAAAAGTTTACATTGATTCAAACAGAAACTAGACAAGTTCATGCAAGAGAAATCCTCTGAGGTCTATCAAATATATAGAAACTATGTTTAGCTCAGGAGGTTACTGAGCTGCAATTAAGGCTGGTAATATACACCTTTCATGATTGCTTTGTGCCTGTGCTCTTTCCTAGGTGTTGCCTTTCTGCTCGAACAAAGACAGACTTTTGGCCTGACTCAGTATGGCTTCTTTTGTGCTGTGCGGTAACAGTTTTCCCTCACCTCATCTATTCCCTGTCTTTCTGAGACTGCAGGAATTTCTGAGCAGGAGCTACCTCCTACGGCTCATTGTCTAGACAAAGGAGTAAAATCCAGACTGGGAGCACTGGCAATAAACACTACAAACAGTGAATAGTTTATACTAAAATATTTTATGAAAAGATAACAGACAGTATTTCCCTCCCCCAGTTTTCAAGTAACTTAAGGTTTTAAAAACTGCTTACCAATACAATCTCACAGAACACTGCAAATCATGTTTTTAGATGAAAAATCCTATTCTAAATGGAGAAAATAATCTGTAATGTTTCCATTCTTTGCTTCTTTTACCACTGAAATGAGTCTAATTAATATGAGGATATGCTGATATCAGGTACCTGGAACTGCCTGGAAAATGGAGCATTCTCAGAGTCCATTCTTTCTGACAGGGCTGAATGAGAACAATTTAACTCCCATGATAAATGAACACCCCGGACATGCTTGTTAGCCCATAAACTTGGGACTTAGGCTTGAAATTACAGTACTTCTCTGCTAACAGATTGCTTAGATATTCAAATCATCTGAATTGTTCTAGTAGTTACAGAAGTTTAAGGAAAAAAAGGGCAGGAAACATTTGGCCCTAAAGCTTTGGATGAATAAATATAAAGTGTTTTGAATGGCTTCTGGAGTTGGGAATAGCATCCAGATGGATGGGAACTCTGTTTTCAAATTACTGTTTATAGAAACAAGGTCAGCACAACTTTCAGTCTTAACCTTCCAATAAGTTTTGATGTCAGTTACTCATATGATTAACAGTAGCATGGTGGTTCCACAATCACTGAATGCAATATGAAGACTAAGTAGTATGAGTAATACTGTACTTAAACAACAAGATCCCATGTGTGTACCTTTAGTCCAGGTGCTCCCATGGGGCCTGGCATGCCTGGCAATCCCTTTGGACCTCGAGCTCCGGGATAACCTGCCAGACCTGGTAAGCCTGAGTTTCCTTTATTACCCTTAACAAATTGAAAATAATTGATTACAAGCAGAACAGCCAAACATGCTTTTTTCATTGTACACTAAAACAGGCACATAACATAACATCAGTCAAAGCCACTTAATGCTTTCTGGATATACGGACACACATTGATAGTACATCAAAATATATGGAAAGACAATGATCAGCAGTATTATCTGGATTTCTGCTAATATTCCAAAAGCAAAACCCCATCATACTTGGCAACAAAGCTACGTGTGCTTTAACTGTGGGCTGGATGGAGGTTTCCGAGGAGTCAAGTTATCATTGTTTAACGAGTCACTGACTGTCAGCAAAGCAAATGCTAACCATGCCACAGCCCACTGCAGTTGCTCAGTTCAGTGATCATCTTAAACCTTGTTCTGTCCTACCCTAAATACATCCTGCTGTGTTTTGTGTGGGATCACCTACCTAGACCTTGAAAGACTTCTGAGAACATTCAAGAGAATCAGTTGCCTCTTTGGGCTTATGCAAGGCATCTTCCCTATCAGCACTCTCCTAAATAGGAACAGTTGCCCAGTTGGATCACCAGTGATCTCCAAATAGTAAGCAACCTTCTATCCACAGTAATTGTGCGTTCAAGTATATATGAAGCACTCATGGGCATGCCAATGACTGCTTTTACCTCCTACAGGGAATCATACAGAATAGTTTACATGAGACCTAAAATTTTTCCCAGACATGAAAATTTGTATGTTCAGATTAACAGTCTTTAGTGTTGATCTCTATTTAATTATTTTCTGACTATATTTTGAAATATGCAGGAAGACAGTACTAATCTCCATTAGACGACTCCATGAGATGGTTCTTGGGTGAGTGTTGCGTGATGCCTGAGGATTCTGAGCTTACAATAAAGAGCTCCTTCTGATGAAAACAAGATGCTGAATTCATTCATTACGGATGGGCTGAAAACACAGTTGAGATTCACACTATTCATTTTTTCAAGAAGAAGGAACTCCGCATTAAGAAAAAAGATGAGACTACCTTCCCACTGAAACATTCAAAATACAACACACTTATTTATAAATACCAGGCATACTGATAATACTAGTACGATTGTGTACACTGTGTAGTGATTGTATACAATAACTTTACCACACCAAGAAAGATCAGAATATTTGTTATGAAAATGTATAAGAACACTAGACTATAAACAAAAGCAACCATTTTTAATGAAATTACACGATACCAAGTACATGGAGTTAAGCCAATTGTGACATGTTAAAAAATGCAAAATGGAAATTTGCTACCATCCAAATGAATGTTTCTGTGATGTCATTTAGAAGAAATACATACATATATACATACATATATCTTCTTTCTTATTTCATATGACATTCTGTTAAGGATTCATAGAAACAGAAGTGTTATATGAAACAGGATTTTTATATTAAATGTGATTTTCAGGGCTTTTGAATATGATACTTTGGTTTATAGCCTGATGGGCTGACAAACTTACATAGCAAAAGTTCTGTTCTTTTGATTCATTGTGGCAAAAATCAGTTAAAAGCCTCTCTTTATTAGAAATTATAATGCTACTATATATTGTTAATACAGAGTAATGGGAACTTTTTTAATATGAAAGATGACATTTTGATTAGAAAGGCAAAAACGTAAGAATTCTTTGGGGTGATACTCATAAAACCAACTCCAAAGAATTTTAAGTACTTGAAAGCGGTT